TAAAATTTTGACTTGCTAAAAAGCTGAAAACTTGTGTAAACCACTACATATAATCATTTGCGTACGGTTGGAACGTTCTGGATTAAGCAACACTCGGGAAAAGAATATTTGAGATCAAGTTTTATCCCTATAAATAAGCAGAACCACTCCATCAGCTGAAAGAAAAGTCAATTATCTGATGACTTAAATCCTGTCAATTGACTTAAATAGTAAGGTTTTTGATTATGATTCAAGAATTATGACACTATAGATACCCGAAAATAAAAACATTGCTGCAATAAAATGTTAGATAAAATAGCCGACTTAAGACAAAAGTAAAAGAAGAAGAGACTACGCGGTGATGGAATTAGAATACAAGTTTGCCGTGGTTGGTTGATTTTATACCTTCAAATCGTCACTATTTCACATTAAGTCCAAAAGAAATTCTAGAATTAGAAAGCAGAAACGACGATTATACGTAAGAAAGAAAGTAAAAAAGAAGATAATAATGGAGCAAGATGACGATGACGAAAAGAAGGAAGAGACAAATTTCAAGTCAGAACTTCTAGAACTGGAATGAAGAACAGACAATTAACCATAGATGAAATGATTTCCTGATATTTGTAAACCAAGAAGAAAGAGACATCAAAAGAGAAATACACGAGAACGCAGACTTAATGTAAAACGAAATGAAAAAAAGAAGACGAAAAAAAAGAAGAAAAAGAACACATTCTTAAGTGATTCGAAAATTAAAACTTGGAAAGAAAGGACGATTGAGACGAGAGGAAAAGAAGAAGAAAACATTGGAAGTGACGTGAAGAAGAAGATAATGAGGAAAAATGGGACAACAAAGGATTGATGGAATTGGAAGACAATGTTTTCTGAAGATGGTTGATTTTGAGACATTCAAATCGTCAATATTTCACATTAAGTCCAAAAGAAGTTTTAGAATTAGAAAGCAGAAAAGACGATTATACGTAAGAAAGAAAGTAAAAATGGAGCAAGAAGACAATGACGAAAACAAGGAAGAGGAAACCAAAGCATTAAAGAAACCGGAGAGAAAAATCGCACTAAAAATTTCAAGTCAGAACTTCTAGCAATGTGTTGAAGATCTCAAGAAAGCCATTCTGCGTTAAATTCAGAGAGAATTCCTATAATTAGAATGAACAATAAACAATTAACAATAGATGAAATGATTTCGTCATATTTGTAAACCAAGAAGAAATTTAAGACAGATCACACATTTAATGAAAAACGAAATGAGGAAAAAGGAGACGAAAAGGAAGAAAAAGAACATTTCTTAAATGATTCGAGAATTAAAACTCGGAAAGCAAGGATTGTGAGACGAGTGGAGAAGAAGAAGACATTGGAAATGGCGTGAAGAAGAAGACGAAAAGAAGGCAATTAGGAAAAATGGGACAACAAAGGGTTGATAAAATTGGAAGATAAAATTTTCTGAAGATAGTTGATTTTGGGACATTCAAATCGTCAATAATTAAGTCCAAAAGAAGTTTTAGAATTTGAAAGAAGAAAAGACGATGATACGTAAGAAAGAAAGTGAAAATGGAGCAAGAAGAGAATGACGAAGAGAAGGAAGAGGAAACCAAAGCATTAAAGAAAACGGGGAGAAAAATCACACTGAAAAATTTCAAGTCAGAACTTCTAGCAAGATGTTGAAGATCTCAAGAAAGCCATTCTGCGTTAAATTCAGAGAGAATTCCTAGAATTAGAATGAACAATAAACAATTAACAATAGATGAAATGATTTCGTCATATTTGTAAACCAAGAAGAAATTTAAGACAGATCAGAGGCACCAAAAGAGAAATGTACGAGAACACACATTTAATGAAAAACGAAATGAGGAAAAAGGAGACGAAAAGAAAGAAAAAGAACATTTCTTAAATGATTCGAGAATTAAAACTCGGAAAGCAAGGATTGTGAGACGAGTGGAGAAGAAGAAGACATTGGAAATGGCGTGAAGAAGAAGACGAAAAGAAGACAATTAGGAAAAATGGGACAACAAAGGGTTGATAAAATTGGAAGATAAAATTTTCTGAAGATAGTTGATTTTGGGACATTCAAATCGTCAATAATTAAGTCCAAAAGAAGTTTTAGAATTTGAAAGCAGAAAAGACAATGATACGTAAGAAAGAAAGTGAAAATGGAGCAAGAAGAGAATGACGAAAAGAAGGAAGAGGAAACCAAAGCATTAAAGAAAACGGGGAGAAAAATCGCACTGAAAAATTTCAAGTCAGAACTTCTAGCAAGATGTTGAAGATCTCAAGAAAGCCATTCTGCGTTAAATTCAGAGAGAATTCCTAGAATTAGAATGAACAATAAACAATTAACAATAGATGAAATGATTTCGTCATATTTGTAAACCAAGAAGAAATTTAAGACAGATCAGAGGCACCAAAAGAGAAATGTACGAGAACACACATTTAATGAAAAACGAAATGAGGAAAAAGGAGACGAAAAGGAAGAAAAAGAACATTTCTTAAATGATTCGAGATTTAAAACTCGGAAAGCAAGGATTGTGAGACGAGTGGAGAAGAAGAACACATTGGAAGTGGCGTGAAGAAGAAGACGAAAAGAAGACAATTAGGAAAAATGGGACAACAAAGGGTTGATAAAATTGGAAGATAAAGTTTTCTGAAGATGGTTGATTTTGGGACATTCAAATCGTCAATATTTCACAATAAGTCCAAAAGAAGTTTTAGAATTTGAAAGCAGGAAAGACGATGATACGTAAGAAAGAAAGTAAAAATGGAGCAGAAAGAGAATGACGAAAACAAGGAAGAGGAAACCAAAGCATTAAAGAAAACGGGGAGAAAAATCGCACTGAAAAATTTCAAGTCAGAACTTCTAGCAAGATGTTGAAGATCTCAAGAAAGCCATTCTGCGTTAAATTTAGAGAGAATTCCTAGAATTAGAATGAACAATAAACAATTAACTATAGATGAAATGATTTCGTCATATTTGTAAACCAAGAAAAAATTTAAGACAGATCAGAGGCACCAAAAGAGAAATATACGAGAACACACATTTAATGAAAAACGAAATGAGGAAGAAAATTAAGACAGATCAGAGGCACCAAAAGAGAAATATACGAGAACACACATTTAATGAAAAACGAAATGAGGAAAAAGGAGACGAAAAAGAAGAAAAAGAACATTTCTTAAATGATTCGAGAATTAAAACTCGGAAAGCAAGGATTGTGAGACGAGTGGAGAAGAAGAAGACATTGGAAGTGGCGTGAAGAAGAAGAAGAAGAAGAAAAGAAGACAATTAGGAAAAATGGGACAACAAAGGGTTGATAAAATTGGAAGATAAAGTTTTCTGAAGATAGTTGATTTTGGGACACTCAAATCGTCAATAATTAAGTTCAAAAGAAATTTTAGAATTTGTAAGCAGAAAAGACGATGATACGTAAGAAAGAAAATAAAAACGGAGCAAGAAGAGAATGACGAAAAGAAGGAAGAGGAAATTTGCATTGAAAAATTTCAAGTCAGAACTTCTAGCAAGATGTTGCAGATCTCAAGAAAGCTATTCTGCGTTAAATTCGGAGAGGATTTCTAGAATTAGAATGAAGAACAAACAATTAACAATAGATGACATGATTTCGTCATATTTGTAAACCAAGAAGATATTTAAGAAAATCAGAGGCACGAAAATCCAGATTTATTGTAAAACGAAATGAGGAAAAAGAAGACAAAGTAAAGAAAAAGAATACAATCTTAAGTGATTCGAGAATGAAAACTAGGAAAGAAAGAATTGTTGAGACGAGAGGTGAAGAAGAAGAAAAGATTGGAAGTAGTGTGAAGAATGAGGGAAAATGGGAAAAAAGGGTTCATAGAATTGGAAGACAAAGTTTTCTATTTGGTTGATTTTGAGGCACTGAAATCGTCAATATTTCGCATTAGGTCAAAACTTCTTTTGACCTAATGCGAAATATTGACGATTTCTACAATTAGAAACCAGAAACGACGATTAGACGTAAGAAAGAAAGTAAAAAGGAAGATAAAAATGGAGCAAAAAGACAATGACAAAAACAAGGAAGAGGAAACTAAAGCAATAATAAAAACGGAGAAAAAATTCGCATGGAAAACTTTCAAGTCAGAACTCCTCGCAAGATGTTGAAGATTTCAAGAAAGCCATTCTGCGTTAAATTCAGAGAGGATTTCTAGTATTAGAATGAAGGATAAACAATTAACAATAGATGAAATGATTTTGTCATATTTGTAAACCAAGAAGAAATTTAAGGCAGATCAGAGGCACCAAACGAGAAATACGAGAACGCAGACTTAATGAAAAACAAAATGAAAAAAGAAAAGACGAAAAGGAAGAAAAAGAACACATTCTTAAATGATTCGAGAACTAAAACTCGGAAAGAAAGGACTGTTTAGACGAAAGGAATAGAAGAAGAAAACAAACATTGGAAGTGGCGTGAATAAGAAGACAGTGAGAAAAATCGGACAACATAGAGGTGATGGAATTGGAAGACAAAGTTAAGAATTAGAAAGCAGAATTATAATTGTGCATAAGAAAGAAGACAAGAGATTAAAATTTTAATTCCATGGGGGATTGACGCAAACGTGATGTTAATAGGAGCGTTTGAGACTAGGAAATGTTCAAGAATCGAATATTCAGTATGAAAACAAAGAATCAAAAATTGAAAGCCGAAGTAGTGTGTATGAACTTAGATATAAAAGTTCCTGTAACTTTATGTACGTTTTGTCTAAGAGTTCGTGTGCTTTCCGGGAAGCCGTAACACAGCAAAACAATAAAATTAAGTCGTCTCCTTCTTAAAATAGTGTGTTCGAACAAGCGAAGATTCCCGGAAGTGTATCTAACGGTTGTATACAGTTTATAACCTTTGTAAGTCCGTTGCTCATTCATTCGGCGATTTTGATATAATAGATGCCGCCAGAGCATTTTAATGGGCAATTTATGCCATTCAAATGTGCACAAACCATTGTACCTCTTTTCATTGTCGATCTGATCAGTTCCATTAAGAATTTCTACGAGTGGCTTGAAAAGAAACGCTAGTTCGGTATGCGTTTCCTGCGCAAAATAATTCGACAAGTGCGTATTTGCTTAAAGAAAAATTTTAAAGCCAAACGAACGCCAGTGATGACAAAGTTGTCGTAAAAGGAAAGCGATTGCGTCTGCTGGAAGGTGAAATTTGCAATATCCTTGATTAGGTGCTTTCAAAGTTCATTTCGTCTTTGCGATAATTGGTTTGGTCACTTCAGGGAAGCCTGTGGGTAAGCAGGGGTCAATCGAATCCTTTATTCTGAGAAAGTCATAAAACATTTTCGCACAAGTTGGTTTAACGCTTATTTGGCACGAATTGAGATACGTGATATAGGATTTATGTTTTCATCGTAATCTATCTGTTCCAGTTAAGCCATGGTAAAGCTGGATTCAATAAACTACTTAACTAATTGATAACTACGGGTTGTTACTGTACGAAATCGTTGAATTGTAAGTAGTTTAGGGAATCGTCAATCGAACCCGTCTTAATTATAAATAAGGCTCGGATTACATACATTCAAAATTGTGTAAACAATGTGGGTTTACCATACACACAGTAAATTAATCCTAATACGCACAAATACGACTAAAGCATGTATAAAAATATTTTGCAAGGATCCTATTGTGCGTGCTAATTGAATTAGCGCGATTTCTGATGTTTGTCATGCTATATATACAAACAAGAATAAACTTGTTTAGTTGGCAAAAGCTTATACCATATAAAAACACAATTGTGGCACTGAAATAGTATGCAGCTGTACTAGTGTAAAGTATGCGAAGATGGTATCTCGCGGTGTGTAAATAATCCATGAACAAAGTCCCGTTGGTTTCGTTATATGTAAATGTTCAACAAACACAGACGTTGATATTAAAATTTCCAAAATATGCATTATTTTTTCACAAAATGCATTTTGCAGTAATTATAAAATGCGTGAATTCATCATAGACGCTGTTGTTCAACGAAAAGTTGATATTTTTCTTAAAATCTCGTTCGTGGTAGCGCGTTGAATAATGCATAAGAGCGACCATTAAATCCGAGATAAAATAAGCCGTAGCAGAACTTGATGTTTAAATTATATAATTAATCGCCAATTTGCTGGCCAAATTCGTCTCGAAAACATAATACGGATTTTATAAATGGAAAGTAACTACTTCTTTAAATTTAAAGAGGGATTATTATTCGAAAACAGGCCCGTCTCATTTCACTTAACTCGCTTTGATTTTTTAAAAATTCCTAAGTAAATTTATGCCGAAAGTTCACGAGAATTATCTTTAAAATGACGTGAGATAGCAATTAACGGGGAAATTTTTTATTGACTATAAAATGACGAAATTGGCTCTAGTTTTTTCCCTCCAATTTTCTCGTTATTTGTTCGGCGATCGACGTGGCCAACACGCTATTCATTAAAAGTAACGAATATTTTCATTTTTTAATGTAATGTACACCAACATCGCAAAAACTGTGTCGCGTAGAATAACGCTAATTGAAACGTATCGCATTTTAAGTAAAAAATATATATCAGGAAAGAATGTGAGGGGATAAAACACGTTAATAGAATTTTTCGGGGCGGATTTATTACACTGCGAGATCATAAACACCGCACTTTTGACCAAATCTCCTATTTATCTATTATTCTTACCACTCGTTATTACAAACTTACAAATTTAGCGCCAATGCGACAACAGTCACTCTATAATTGCATTGAACGTTCATAAATTTCAATGACACTCAAAACCTGAAGTGTATGGACTAGGTCAAAAAAGTCGTCGTTAGTCTTTCTTTTAATTATATTATAATAATGATAATTATTATTATAATAGCATTATATTTATAATATATTGGAGACACATAATCCACGGGAAAAAATTCCTTTGTCCGTGGTGTCACAAATATGTTTTGCACAATACAATGTACAAATGCCGTTTTTCTAATAGACAAACTCACTAGAAACACAGGCATAGCCATTCACATTTTGAATTATATTTCTGTAATCAATACGACATACTGAAAAATTCTAGTCGTGTGATGTCTAAATATTTGCATGACCTTTAAGACGTTCCCGGATGGGATACTTGAACGCGTAGTGTTGTTAATAATAATCTCCGGCCATAATAGCACGTTGCAAGTGTAATGAGGATTCCCTGTCAAGTTCAATTAAGTGTACACTGGACACAGGCCTTTGTAAATATTATTGCTTAATTGAATTGATAGTATGCCTACAGAATTGCCGCTTAATTTATACAATAATCGAATAATAAAGCCCTTTAGGGGCGGTCAGAGCTTATTTATAAATGAACGTGATCGAACGTGCAATTTTTCTCCGGTGACTGTATTCAGTTGTTACCGGGCACGAACAAAGTTGTTATTTTTTGAATAGTGGGGACTATATGTTATATTGACATAGTAATAACACGACCCGCAAGGTCTGGAAAATAAAATCTTTTCCTCGGATCTCTATCAGTTTTCGATCATCCATATGTGTCCACATATTTTATCGTAAATTGTGAACGTAATTTTGCAACTCTATCAACCGCCCTATCCACACCGATAAACCTTACTATTTTTGGCTATTTTCTAAAAATTCGACGAGTTTAATTTTCTTTAAAACGCTTTTATCGACATTTATTGTCGGTCACGCGTCGTTCACAACAGACTACTATCTACACTAAATTTCTGCTAAAAAACTCTCATCGATTTTGCACGATTTAACCCCACTAAATTTATTCTGCCTTGGAGATTAACGAGCTGTATTAAACTGGCGTACTATAACAACAACAACAATAATAATAATATGTAGAGTGACGATAAATAAAGCGATTCAGCGCATCAAGTAGTCGACGGTGTTCAAGTGAACATTTGTTGTACTACAACAAAAGCTGAATTTGCAGTCCAGCACGTGCTCGTTTTGGTGAGTTCGTAACGCGGCTTTTGTCTCGGTATTCGCAGTGACAACGTGAAACTGTTTTCACCGTTTCGCTTTAATAATGTAGATTAATATTGATTTAGCTAAAAAGCTTATGACATTATCGACGCGCACAATTGACGTATTTGACAAAAGAACGAAGAAATACACCCTGTTCTAAATTTGTATTAAGGCTGCTTGGTATAACGATTTGCATTGGTGAACGATGAGATGAGAAGATGAGCGACTCTATAACATACGAGATAAACGTATTCCTGTTGGAATAATCAAGCAGCCTCAGAGTCGAGAAATCGGGTCGTACACTTAAGCAGATTATTCTGCTTTGTTTTGTGTAAGTCAATTCAATAATTCGCCATTTGTAAAAAAGCTGCAGCGGTTAGAGACACCCAGGCTGATAAACCCATATAGTGTGAAATTAAAATCGCAATAATGATAATGACGCTGCGTCATAAAACCGATTATATGACGCTATACCCGTAAAATTGTTAGTGGCAAAATTTTGACTATCCAAGTTTTACAATTACTTCAATAAAACGCGAAGTTATCCAACTACATATCCGTTCGCAATTTTAAGTGAAATTCAGCTGCTGTAACAAATAAAAGTCGGAAATAATCAAAATTAACAAAACCCTAATTCTAGATTGCCCACAATATGAAAGGTTATGATGGTTTCATATCTGTATTTTTAAATCGTTTTTATTTCGGAGTCTGGTTTGAAGATTACACACAATATGAAGGGTTATGATGGTTTCATATTTGCATTTTACTGGTGTGTAAGTAATTGTCGGCTGTGGCATCGTAGTTTAAGCTACACATACACCCCGTATGAGAAAATCTGGATCCAGGCACAGCCCGCGTCGACTGTTTTTAAGAATAGAGAAACTCGTTAGAAGATTTGGGCGACTAGGCGGAGTAGAACATGAAACGTCTTGTTAAAAGAAGCTAGGATAGAACTTAATACCTATGGGAACGGGATGATTAAATTGTGTTTAATTTCACTTACAGCTGTATTTTTAACTTTAGTTGTTTGTTTCAGTTTACAACGTCGTAAATTGATCGGAGAGTCGCTTTTTCAAATTGATCGACTAAGTTGGTGAGTGGGTTAAATTGAGAAACTTTTACAAAATATTGGATAGAGCTGACCGGCATTAGACTTCACTATCTCCGTGCATTATTCGCGTCATTTGTTCTTGGAATTATCAAAGCAGAGGAAACTTATTGTTATTTAATTGAGCGAAAGTAACTCAAAAATGTAACATTTTTTCGTTCGAAGTCCATAACAAAGTTGCATGAAAAATTGGACGTCGTATGGAACAGGCGTTTCAGTTCGTTCTTGTGTTTTACTTTTACTCTATACGAGCAAAGTGTACGTGTTTGGTCCAAATCACTACGCCAGACTAGTTTTCCGGTTCGCTATTGATTTCGTTATTTTTTAATTTAAAGTCTGCCTCGTAAGATAGAATACTGAATAATATGTAAAATTTTACTCTGGAGGCATGTTGTTGCGCCCCTGTTTATTGCTATTGATCTGAAATTCAAATTGCGAGGATATAAGTTTCGTGCAAGCTCCTCTTCAATATTCCAAAACGCTAAGGGTTAGAAAACTTATTAAAAACACAAATACTTCAATAAACAGTATAACTTTGGCAACTTGGAGATGGCGTGCCATCAAAAAGTCAAACTCTGCTTTTTAATCGAATAAAGTCAACAACTAATCCTTACTTCCGTTTCACCGTGCTAGCAAAATTGAATCTCAAACTTATATACACTATTCACTCGAATTCGCGGGATCTCATCGTATGTCACGTCCAACAACTCCGAAGTTTTGTCTCTTTAAATTTTTCATTTTCTCGTCGAATGCAACGTAAAAGGGTATTACAAATTAAATCTAATCTGGTGGTACTTTTTATCAAGCGGAAAGGTCGTTTGAGCTCCAGGCAAACGCGCTTCCGGTTCCACACTTTTCCTACACCCTGTATGTGTCCTAAATGGCATTTCCTGTTACCAATATTGATTAGTTCTGTTTATAACGTAAATGTGGTTCGTTTTATATTACGAATCTTGTCGTAGTTTTATTACCGCGACAAATAAGCTTCACTTTTAAACAAGTTTTTAATCAAGTCCATAATAAGAAAATAATTAATCCGCAGCGGTAAACCACAATGAACTCTGGTGTCTGTTCCAGCCATCCGTATTAATTCAATTAAGCAATGTGTTCGGAAAAGCTTTAATAGAGCAATAATGTGTTGACGGTTTATAGGCAGTTATGGTCTTAGCTGGAGATTTTACGTCGTATCGAAAGCTCTTTGTGTTGCTGCGAATTTGTACTGCAGTCGAGATTTATCAGTTTCAGACCAAAATAAAATCTGTAAGTAAGTTACTGAAACTTAAAAGTCGATACCATAAGAGACGCCCTGGCACCATGTTTGCCAAACAGTTTCAAAATTATCGAAATGTATATGAACAGAAAGCAGGTTTCTCTTTCTCTCTTCGGTACCGATAACTCACGAAAAAGCATGAATATTTTAATAAACGCCTGCTTCTGGTGTTGCAAGCGCTGAGTTATCGTTTTCTGACGCTCTTTCTATTTATGTACGCTGTGTCTTGACGTATTAACAAAAAGCATTAAACGTTCGCTACAAATATCTGAATGGAACCACAAATTATTTTTTAATATTTTATTAAGTGCAAAGTTCACCCCGATTCATGAAAACCCACGGCCTTGGTGAAATAATAGATGACACTACGTGAATGTAATTAAGTGACGTCATCGTAGCAAGAAAGGGAAAAGTAGCGAACGAGATTCCAATACGAAGAATAAAGGATTAGCTCTTACCCATATATGTTCTTTAAGATTTCGTCATCGAGATAATTGCTGTTAATCCGGGAAAGCCCTGTAAATCTTATATTTCGTGCGGAAAAGTTGGCTACAGAGAAGGTCACGTCGTGCTACTATCGAATTTGCGCATTCTGCCTTTATCATAAAGCAGCTCTCGGTAATTAAACTCTTGTAATAAATTACAAGTATTTCACAGAGAGGCGCCAATGGTCATTACCTGGGAAAGATGACGTCCGTTTTCCTCTACTTCCCCCAGGTTATAAGTTTCTACCACTACAACAGAGAGAGAAGTTACGAAAATGGAGCCGTATATTAAGACAGAGAAAAGATTATTAAGTACATTCAGGCAAAGGTTAATTTATGTAAAAGTGGGTTTCCAACCTCGCTCATACATATCGGCTCTATTTTCAGATAAATAGACTTCGCGCTCTAAATTAAAAAAGCGTAATTATAAAAGATCTACACCGACGCTGCGACAGGTATGTTTACCTAATGAAGTCATTAAGAAGGATTAGGGTCCGTCCTAATTACTAATCTAGCAAGTTGGCCACAATCTGTCCTAATTACCGATTTGCTAAACCGTATATAATTTTTAGAATAAAAGAGGGACTATTTGGGGACACGTACACGAGCGGAAAGATCGTTAATTGATTCCAGTCAAACTAAACGGGAACTGCCAATGGGTATCAAAGGTTTCTTTCAAGCCGGAATTTTGCGGAAACAAGTACAAGCAAACGACGATCTTGCGCTTTTTCCTACGTGAACGCTTCTCCAATTTATATAAATGCTCAGTTTCATATTAGTTGGGCATTTTTCCCGACAGAATAAAAAATGTAACATCATTTACATAAAGAAAAGGAATACAACACGTGGGAGTTGTTTCACACGTGGAGTTTATTGAATGTAAAGCGGAACCCGTAGACACTCTAAATCTATAACGCTGCTGTCAAATAATTTCTAGAATGTATGTGCCTTCTAATTCAATACTTTTCAAAATTCGACTTCATCTGATATTCATCGCTTAAAGACGAGGGATGTTTTCGCTACGTTTCTTTGCTACCCAGTTGTAGTCACTTAACGTAAGCTGAAGAGACACAGGTTAAGTCAGGTCCACCAAATAATTAAATAACTGCACACAATATGAAGTGTTATGACGGTTTCATTTTTGTATTTTTAAATAGTGTTAATTCCGGGGTCTAGTTTGTCCTACAGTCCATCAAACTGGGCAGTCTAAGTGTTCACAACGATGACGTTAAATAAACAGATGAACCAAAATCCCGACTCAAGATTACACACAATATGAAGGGTTACGACGGTTTTATTTTTATATTTTAAATAGTGTTCATTCCGGAGTCTGCTTTAATCGACAGTCGATAAAATTTGACACTCCAAACGTTCACAACGATGATTTTAAATAAATGAACTAAAACCCTGATTGAAGGCTGCACACTATATGAAGGGTTACGACGGTTTCATTTTTGTATTTTAAATAGTGTTAATTCCGGAGACTGGTTTTTCCTAGTAGTACATCAAATTTGACAGTCCAAGTGTTCACAACAATGACGTTAAATAAACAAAACCCTGATTGAAGATTGCACACAATATGAAGGGTTACACGGTTTCACTTCTGCATTTTAAATAGTGTTCATTCCAGAGTCTGCTTTGAACTACAGTCGATCAAATTTGATATTCCAAGTGTTCACAACGATGATTTTAAATAAATAAATGAACTAAAACCCTGATTGAAGGCTCCACACAATATCAAGGGTTACGACGGTTTTATTTTTATATTTCAAATAGTGTTCATTCCGGCGTCTATTTTGATCTACAGTCCATGAAATTTAACACTCCACGTGTTCACAACGATGATTTTAAATAATTTTTGTATTTTAAATAGTGTTAATTCCGGAGACTGGTTTGTCCTACAGTCCATCAAATTTGACAGTCCAAGTGTTCACAACAATGACGTTAAATAAACAAATAAACCAAAACCCTGATTGAAGATTGCACACAATATTAAGGGGTACGACGGTTTCACTTTTATATTTTAAATAGTGTTTATTCCGGAGTCTGCTTTGATCAGTCGATCAAATTTGACACTCCAAGCGTTCACAACGATATTTTTAAATAAATAAATAAATGAACTAAAACCTTGATTGAAGGCTGCACACTATATGAAGGGTTATGACGGTTTCCTTTTTGTATTTTTAAATAGTGTTAATTCCGGAGTCTGGTTTGTCCTACAGTCCATCAAATTTGACAGTCAAAGTGTTCACAACGATGACGTTAAATAAAACCAAATCCTGATTGAAGATTGCACACAATATGAAGGGTTATGACGGTTTCATTTTTGTATTTTTAAATAGTGTTAATTCCGGAGTCTAGTTTGTCTTACAGTCCATCAAATTTGATAGTCAAAGTGTTCACAACGATGACGTTAAATAAAACCAAACCCTGATTTCAGATTGCACACAATATGAAGGGTTACAACGGTTTTATTGTTATATTTTAAATAGTGTTCATTCCAGCGTTTACTTTGATCTACAGTCAATCAAATTTGACACTCCAAGTGTTCACAACGATGATTTTAAATAAATAAATGAATTTTTAAAACCCTGATTGAAGACTGCGCACAATATGAAGGGTTACGATGGCAACTATTCATTTAATGTAATACAATGTCATAAAACTTTCACGATATTTGTTATAATATTAATTTACATTATATAAAAATATTTGGGGGCAAAGTTTTGTGTTCTTTAATAAAAACTTGGGGGAAAGTCGTTGTTGGGCGTATTTTCATCTTATAAAAACATTTACATGTTTCTGGCCTCAGGTGTTCAACTAATCAAGCATGACTGGAGTGGGCGTGCGTTGTTATCCCACTTTTGATGTTAAAAAACGTGCATTCGTCGATTTTTTTTAGCTTGACGAGAATAAAATAATAAAATGTCAAACAAAAGAAAAATGTTGAGATGTAGTACATTCCGACGTATGTTAAATTCGGGACGTGGTGTGCCGTCGCAGGTAAAATAAACATTGCTACATTTCAGTTCTTATTAAGCCGTCTATCTTATAAAGCATATGTGGCAATAGTGGCGCCCATCACTAAACTTTACATGTAGTTTAGTCTTGGCAGCTATTTAAATGTAGACCGAGCTCGTTGGTGGAATGCGATAAACATTGCTACTGTCAGCAACAAGGGAGGAAGAGACCCTATTAAATACCGTTCTGCACTTACATTACTTCAGCTC